CAACAGCTCTTCGCACACAGTGCAAATCCCCCTGAAGGCCAGCCTGCAGCTCTCTGGTTCTCCTGACAACATATAAGTTAGTTAGCCATCAACAACTGAAGCAGCAGCTCAGACAGATCAGTTGCCCCAGGAAATGCTCCACCTGTCATTGATCTCAGAGCTGTAGTCCCTCCGCTGCATCAGAGTGTTGTGGAGAGGCCTGTGAATGTTTTGACAGTGTAAGGCCTCCTGTTTCTCCACGTCTCTGATCCTCTGATGTGTACGTAGTCTCCACAGTCTCCATGCTCTCTGCAAGCAGCATCGCTCCTCATGAAGAACCGCCTGGAAAAGCAAAGAAAAATGACTGGAGCACAACATCATGTCTACTCTGTATAAACACTTGGTTCCATCTGCAGTTGACGTACAATCCGCTCAGAGAGACTCTCCTCCTTCTGCTTCTCTGACCGTCCCCTCCAGGTGGAAAACACCCAGTGCAGCTGACGCTGTCTGAAAGTCCAAAAACAAGTCATGCAGGAGTAGATATAGACTGAGCTGCATTTATGAAGGTTTAAGGTCTGAGGAAAAGATATGAAATTACTGATTAAAGGCTTCGGCTTTCAATCTTCTCTGTCTTTGAATTTGTCTCTGCAGAGTGAACTCCACCCAGGAGTTGAAACATCGAGGTAAGCAACGCGCTGCAAACCAGACATCTGCCCGATGCTCCATTTCCTGTGGGAAAAAATAAAAAATTTAAAAAAATCAGGTTTTCAATCGAATGTGAGGCATTTAAAATTTCCAAATGGCAAATAAAATAAAATACATTTGTTTTACTTTGAAATCCCACAGTAATAATTGCTATAAAGTTAGAATGTCTTTAAGAGTGTAATATTTGAGGCTTTCCCTGCTACTACTAGAACTGACTTTAGTTATTTTGAACATAAGTGCAAAGTGTTAATATTTATAATTCTATCAATGTTTAGTCATTATATTAATGTTGTTGCTTTGTGTCAAACAATATTCCATTATATCATGCTATAACGGTAACCTTTTTTTTTTTAATCATATTATCTATGTTAAAATATTGACTCATTAAATAATAAATAATGTTGGCACTGAAGTGTGTAATAATTTTCCAAAGCTGGAAAACTTATTTTTCAGGGTTAAGTCCTATTAAGATGGAGACCTTTAACAAAGGTCACCTAGGCAACAAATTAACAACACATTCAAATTAAACAATCAATTTACCAACAAAGATTTTAAAAGTGGATAACTGGTCAATAACTTTTTTTTTCCAGAACAGCTTCCCTCTGCTACCTAAGAGATGACTAAAATACAAAAGACAAATTATAGCACATTTGCAATGAGCAGTGAAATTAATTATAGACAGCAAAAATGAAGTCAGGATGCTGAAACAAAAAAGTCTGGGTTCTTCTTTTGAACCTGATTCCTCAGCGACTCAGTATTACTCCGAGTTACCTCAGAATGTAATAGTCAACTTATAAATAATAACATTTTAAACAACTACATTCTTTACGTTTTTTCATGCAAACATTCAGTATCATTTGGGACACATCTGCAAATTTGAAAATCTCTTCCAAAAGTGATTTCCCTTTAAACAAACCTGCATATTATTCTGTTCAGCAACTTCTTCCCTCCAGTGGTGAAAAAAGTGCCTCAGCACCGATTTTCTGCAATATTTAAGACATTCATACAGTCTAGCCTTTCTTTATTTCTGAAAATGTAGCAATTAAAGGTTTAAATTGACTAATAACCTGTAGTTGCTAACCGCCTTGTTGGTTATCGGTTTAAAGCTTTGATCTTCAGCTTCCTCCAGTCGATCCATCCAAAGTTTCCAGTACTTAGCCAACATCTACCAAAGAACATTTTAAGACTAAGACAAACAGACTGGAGCCGACTGTGAGGCG